TCGAAGGCCAATGGCTTTCATCTCTCTCCTTCCGCCCTCCATTTCCTTTGAAATCGTCAACCGATCCGCCCTTCTTTCATTCTATGTCAAGCAATTCTGTCCGGAATTGGAGCTGATCCAACCAATGAATCACAAATCTCTCCCACATTTGGATTCACACCACCAAATCCGACACTATTTCATGTATAAATTTGGTTTTTTTCTTCATCAATCACAGACCTCAATCCTCCCCCTCGTATCTGATCTTGTCTGGAAGATCGAGGCTTCGGAGGGCTTGAGGTTTCCATTGCACTACTTTTTCTTCGTTTCTGGTGTGATTTTTCTGTTTTCTTCTTCTTTTCCGGAAGTTCTTCCGTCTCGGATTGAGTCCATCTTGTAAAACACTCATTCCTTCATAAAATGGCTTTCACTGGAACATTGGATAAATGCAAGGCTTGTAATAAGACTGTTTATGTCGTCGATTTGTTGTCTCTTGAAGGCAATCCTTACCATAAGAATTGCTTCAGATGCAGCCACTGCAAAGGCACCCTTTCGGTTAGTCTCGGTTTTACATTTTCAAATTTTAACATCACCTTCTCGTGTTAGATCGTTCGATAATGGCAGATTTTACCCTAATTGTTTGATTATGATGACAGATGACCAGCCACTCGTGGATGGACGGCGTCCTGTATTGCAAGCCTCATTTCGATCAACTCTTTAAGGAATCTGGAAATTTCGCGAACTTTCAATGTAGTATAACCTTTATTTCCCTCTTTGTCTCTTCCTTTTTTCTTTTCATATGTTCCTGACATTCTCGTTTCATTGTTCAACAGCCAAGTCTGATAAGAAACCTGAACTGGTATGCTCCCATTGTGTTCTTTTTTCCTTGGATTTAAAACAAGTGACTGTCATAATCTCACTGACTTGTGAATTAGATATTAGATTGAATGTATGAGAATAATGTGGATCAAAGTTTGCTTAGCTTGCTGACCTGAAATAGAATGACGGGCCTAGGCATTCTGGTTTTGTTTCTAATTTTCTAAAGTTTTCAAGCGGTCAAGAGCAAATTTGATTGGACGTGCCATTAGGGCTTTCTAACGTTCTATACTAAACTTAAGCTATCACTCAATCAGCCATTAGCCACTTTTGTTTCTAACATTTACCCCGAAAAAAAAAAGAGTTTTGAAACTTCAGCCTTGTGATTTTCATGAAAATGCTGTAATATTTATGTTATATTACGACTTTCACAATCTTTGACAGACAAGGACCAACAGCAAACTCTCCGCCATGTTCTGTGGGACTCAAGATAGATGTGCTGCTTGCAGTAAAGTAGTTTATCCATTAGAAAAGGTCCGTAGTTCTTCCCCTTTTCTTCTTTACAACACATATTTTTCTCAAAATTGTTAAAGAAAAACTCTGCTGGGCTTAACAGATCAGTCTTGAGGGGGAATGCTACCACAAGAACTGCTTCAGATGTGCTCATGGTGGATGCAATTTGACACACTCTTCTTATGCTGCTCTTGATGGTGTCCTGTACTGCAAACACCATTTTGCTCAGCTCTTCATGGTCAAGGGCAACTATACCCATGTTCTTCAAGCTGCTGCAAACAAGAAAGCCACCATGACCCCGGCCGAACATGCCGAAAAAGATGGCAAGCCTCAGCCTGATTCCGAGGACGGCGCAGTTGAGCAATCTTAAAATGCTTCTTCTGCTCTTCCAGACTTTGAGAATTCATCTCTTATGAAAAAAAAAAAAAAGTATTCTTCTGTGGAAACATTTGTTTTTGTTCTTAATTCACATTCATTGGAATGGAAACATTTGTTTTTGTTATCATTCACATTTATTTCCAATTTATACTATGTTCTGCTGTACTTTCAAATATCACCTAATAAGTTCGAGAATTTTTGTTCTATGTTGAAGCTCGGTTCTTATGATTGAGGTTTGTGCTCCATCCTTGCAGAGGTAGAGAATCCATTGCTATGCTAATGGAAGTTTTGGGGAAGATAGAAGGTGGGCTTACTACTTAGATGCTTTCCACAGTTATCTGCTTTACACTTGGCTATCTAACGTTTACCGTTGGTATGATAATTGATACACGAGCAATTATCTAGAGCATTATGGCCATGTTTTTTTTCCCAAGTTGTGCATATTCCCAAACAAGATTCTTTGAACCAAATTTGTCCCATTAGCACTATTGGATATACACCATTTTGGCTTCATGGGCGATTGTGATTGCAGTCTTTATAAGTCCATATCATATTGATGTCAAAATAATATCTATTCGATACAATTTAATTCGGATCACTCAATTTCTTAATATGCCATTATTAAACTAAAAAAATCCTAGAAAAACATGTAGCCGTATGATTTGAAAATCTTATATACAGTTCATTTCCCTTATGTCATACACGTGCTACAATAGCTGAGACATAGGGTTGTCATCTCGGGAGGGCGAGCAAACTCCAAAAATCCGTCCTCAATTCGAATTGTAGGCTGCAACTTACCTAAGCCATAATTGTTGGTAATCACATACGGTGGTGAATTCGTTCCCGGGCTTCGTACATACCGCCCATCATAGAAACTAGTCATTCCCGAAGTTGGCAAGTTTCCCATCACACACAACATCTAGTCTAGTTTCCCAGACCGCCCCACCTCTTAATTATAATATATTAAAAAATTATTTATGCATATATTTTTATAAATCGAACTATATGGAATAAGAATATATTCACATTTTAAAAAAAATTAAATAATCTATTTGATATAACTTTAAAAATTAAAGTTAGAAATAAAATATTAAAAAATCTAAAGGAAAAAAAAATTGTAATTCTTATAATTTTTTAGTTGAGTTGTTTGAGTGATTTTTAGAATTTTTATTTTTAGTAAAATTAAAATGTTTAAATAATAAAAATATTAAACATAAATTTAAATAAAAATATTAAACATAAATTTAAATAAAAATAATAAATAAATAAATAGGTTTTTTTTTCAACATTGTTTATTTGTCGGTTGTATTTCACGCGCTTCAATAGCGCGTGATCAAGCGCCTTTTTAATTCGGAATATCTCACTCCTTCAACAGATCGACAATGAGGCCATCGACCAACGAAGGGCCATTTCGGTAAAATCGCGAGAAATATCAAAGAGCAGTTAGTGGCGTTCTCGGCCAGAATTTTTCATTTCCTACCGTCCAAACAACACGAAACGCAAATTCACTACAAAATTTTCTCCCTCATTTGTTCTTAATCTTCCATTTTTTTTATTTTTGCCACACCTGGTTCAGGACTGTGATTGCCGGAGCTTTGTTTTCCCTCCAACTCTCTGCCGCAGACATCTCTCCATTGTTTTATCAGCCTCCAGCATCGGTTTGTTCATTTTATGTATAGAATTATAGTTTAATATGTCTGAATAGTATGTTTTGTGGTATAAATGTTTCGTGAATGTATATTTGTAGCTCGTATTTATTGCTTTTATTATTGTTTTCATTTTTTATAATCTGCCAGCTGCGGTTTGGATTTGATTGCATTGCTATGTAGTTTAGTGCTCAGTGTGAGTAGTTATATTTGTTTTTGATTGATTTGTTTGAATTGAATGCACGAGGGACTGATCTGATGAGTGGAATTATGTTCATGTTTACGAGTTAACGTGCATGGTTATGGTTTTCGGATTGTGGCAGGGTCTGGTTGATGGTTTGTATCTGTGTTTTTCTGAGCGGTTCTTGATTTTGTTTGACTAGGTGTTTGAATGATTGGCAACCTTGTTACGAGTATGTAATTGAATACTGGGTTTTTTGAAGGGCTTGTCTCATATTCCTGGAACCATGGATTTATCTTGTAATATTTGGAAGCAAAATGTGTTATCTGGTAGTGAAAAAGCATATTGCAAGACGTTGGACCAGTTTGGTCCCAGCTATGTGCTTAGAAGTAGAATTATTGATGCCAAGTTGACTGGAGGTTCAAGGGTAATTTATAAAGTGTCGAAGAAAAGAAACAGAATTGTAGCTGCGAGCAATTCCAATCATTTGAGTCTGGTTTGTGCTAGCAAGTATGATGGTGCCTTGCAAATTTGTAAGCACAAAAGATTCTTGAATTGTAACAAAACATTTGGAAGAAGGATGGGCATGGTTTATTCAGAGTGTCAAAGCAATGATTCTTTATCATTTATTGATGGAAATGGCAGAAATTTGGAATATGTGGGTACTGGTGATGGAGGATCCAGTTCTGAGCATACTGATGGTTTAGGGTCAGCTGGTTCCAGAGAAGCTGGTGGAGAAGCAGGAGCTGTAGAAACGGATGCACTGACTGTGGATGAGCTTAGAGAATTGCTGCAAAAGGCTATGACAGAATTGGAAGTTGCGAGACTTAACAGTACCATGTTTGAGGAAAAAGCCCAAAAAATATCAGAAGCAGCAATAGCTTTGCAAGATGAAGCGGCCAATGCTTGGAATGATGTGAACTCTGCTCTTGATTCTGTACAACAGACAGTGAATGAAGAATATGCTGCCAAAGAATCTGTTCAAAAAGCAACCATGGCACTTTCATTAGCAGAGGCAAGGCTTCAGGTGGCAATAGAGTCATTGGAGCTGGCAAAAGGAGGAAACGATTCTCCTGAAACATCAACAGAAAGTGAGGGGGAGATTGATGGCAAGGAAAATCAAGAAGTGTTGTTAGTTGCTCAGGAGGACATCAAAGAATGCTGTGTTAATTTGGAAACTTGTGATGCGGAATTGAAGCGCTTACAGAGTAAAAAGGAGGAGTTACAGAAGGAAGTGGACAGGCTGACTGAGTTAGCTGAAAAAGAACAATTGATTGCGTTGAAAGCTGAAGAAGAAGTGTCAAATATAATGCTTTTGGCTGAGCAAGCTGTTGCTTTGGAACTTGAGGCTGCCCAAAGGGTCAGTGATGCTGAAATAGTTTTACAGAGAGTGGAGAAATCTATATCAAATTCTTTTGTTGACACTTCGGAAACCACACAGGGGTCAAATATTATTGAAGAAGTTGCTAACGAGGACAATAAGGCAGTTCTCGAAATTTCTGGTGATATTGCTGTTGAAATGGATAGAGATTTGCCACTTATTGGTGATTCCTTAGTTATCAAATCTCTTCCAGGTAGCTTTTCAGATTCTGAAGACTCTGATCAACCGTATGACTTAAGTGATAGTGAGAATGGAAAATTGAATTTAGATTCCTTAAAGGAGGTAGAATCTGGAGCAGAGAAGTCTATTTTGAGTCCAGCAAAAAAGCAGGAAACACAGAAGGATTTGACCAGAGAAGGCTCATCTTTAAATTCCCCCAAGGCTTTATTGAAAAAATCTTCTCGCTTTTTCTCAGCATCATTCTTTTCCTTTTCGGCTGATGGGGAAGAGTTCACTCCAGCATTTGTCTTCCAGGGTCTCCTGGATTCCACGAAAAAGCAATTGCCAAAGCTTATTGTTGGAGTAGTACTGTTAGGAGCAGGGTATGCACCAACATATTCTTTATCGTTTCTTCATTTGTGTCTAGAACAGTATGAAGGCCCATAAAGTTAGTTCTTGCAAGTATATTGCTAATTGCTCAGTTTAGCAAGCGTATTTCATCTTCCTGATGAAGGTATTGCACCAGTATTCTCCTTCCCCAGGAATCTTAGAAAGAAGAGATTTTTACGTCCGGTTTGTATATCTTACTATAACAGTAGCTGACACCTCAACCAAAGTAAATAAATAAGTAATAGGTTCTTGAAAATTGCTGCCATGTGGAAAGCACACTAGCTTCATAAGTATGAAATGTATCTATTGGTATATTAGTTCCCCTTGTGGACAATGCTATGCACTTTTGTCTTGTTGTTTTGTACAGAGAATAGATTGCTTCATATAGTCACTAGATGTTGAAATTCATCACAGGATCAGTATCTTTGCAAATCGAGCAGAAAGGAATTCTCATATGTTTCAAAAGCCTGATGTTGTCACCACTAGCACTGATGAAGTTTCCTGGAATACAAGACCTTTATTTCAACAATTAAGTAAACTTCCTCAAAAAGTGAAAAAGTTAATTTCAAAGATTCCGCATCAAGAGGCATGTACTCATTGATCCCTTTCAGAGTTGAGATTTTTGGTTGTAACTCTTATTGTTGTCATCAATCACAACATTTCAGGTGAATGAAGAGGAGGCTTCACTGTTAGACATGTTATGGCTGTTGCTTGCTAGTGTTATATTTGTGCCAACATTTCAGAAACTTCCTGGAGGTGAATGAATTTTACATGCATTTCTGGATTGATTTGAGTTTCCTACTTGCTTGCTATTTTCTTTCTAAATGTCCTTTGGTTGATTCCTTCAAAGTTCTTGGCTTCATGAATATCAATGTCAAGAGAAGACTTAAAACTTCTACTTGTCAGTATTTCACTCAGCTTTTATGTGGTCTACTATGATTTTGTGACATCAACTTCTAGTGTTTCATTAGTAAAATGAAATAACTACTTGTGCAGATTAAGATAGAGCTAGGTTTGTAGATTTCATATTCTCTTTACTGGAGTTATAGTCTAGAAATGTTGCTACCAACAGTTTATTTTATCCAATATGATAAATTGCGGAGATGTATTTGGGTTAGTTTATGTAAGGCTTTTTGGACAAGTTTATATAAGTATTTGTCTCTATATTTTCAACCGGTGTATTTTATCCAATATGCTGTGTAGGAAGTCCTGTCCTTGGGTACTTGGCTGCTGGAATTTTAATTGGGCCATATGGTTTCTCCATAATCCGTCATGTGCATGGAACAAAAGCAATTGCTGAATTTGGAGTTGTTTTTCTCCTGTTCAACATTGGCCTGGAGGTGATCCTTTTAATTGAGTTGATTTTGTTTTTACTCCTTTATTTTATTTGCGTTATACTTTTAGAAGGTTAAACCTAAGTTACTGTTTTTCAGTTATCAGTTGAGAGGCTAAGTTCCATGAAGAAATATGTTTTTGGGTTAGGGTCTGCACAGGTGATTGTGAAATTCCACTCTTTACTGTGTGGGGCCAAGTCTACCCTTTCTCTAGTCTGTAAGTGATGTACCTTAGGTAATTAACCCTATTCAGAAATGCAGGTTTTGGTTACAGCTGTGGTGGTTGGCTTGATTGCTCATATTGTCTGTGGGCAGCCTGGCCCAGCTGCAATTGTCATTGGAAATGGTTTAGCTTTGTCATCCACTGCTGTTGTCCTTCAGGTGTGATCACGGATAAGTATTTTCTTCCAAAATTGTAGCGTTTTCTTTTATTGTGCTATAAGATTCTCACTAAATGGATAATAAATTTTTATGTTCTGTAAACTCCCATACTGCTATAGTTTTTTGACGGAGTTGTGCCTGAAACTAACTTCGACTCCTTTAGTACTTTTATCTGAATCTATGCACAAGGGAAAATATTCTTCCCTGTGGTGGTTGCCTTGGTTGCTCAAGTATGCTTGTCTTTCTTTGTTAATGCCGTGCAATTTTCCATTATTTGACTTTTTCTTGGCTGCCAGTGGTAATTGCGATGACTTTGTATCTCAAATATTGAAGATAAGGAAGGAAAGGGCAACGACCAATTTTTGTGATCCCAATATGCTTGAACTTCTCAGTGTTAAAAAAAAAAAAAAAAAAATCCCTGAATTTTCTCACTCACAGAATACAAACAATTATTATTATATTTGCTAATTTGATGCTGTTGCATGCTTTCAACATGTTTTTTATAATAAACAATCTTTGTCTCATACTTTTGAATTGGAATCCGTTCTTGTAGCTACTGTCGGATTCCCTTTCAGACTTATTTTTTTCCATATGTCCTTGTCATTTTTTTAATTCTTCTCGACCAAAACTTGGTTTCTAAAAAAAAAAAAAAAAGGAAAAAAAAAAAGAGTTGTTTCATGAAATAGTCTAGTCATGGTATTCTTGTAAAATAAAAAAAATTAAGTTTTCATAATTTCCGCCCCCCTGCATATGAGCTTCTTATACAGATTAAAAGCTCATGTGAATTAACAAAATCTCAGCGTTCTTTGATGTACATGGTCCAGTCACTTGTTTTCTCAAAAGTATTCTATTTTTAACATATCTAATTACTTCTTGGGCTCTTTGTTATCCTAAATCACCATTTGATCTTGACTTATGGCTGATTTATGCATCCCCTCTACAGAATTTAGCCAAATATTAACTTTCTTTTTTATTGATATTGTAGGCTATATAAACTTATAAGCCTACATGACACTTTTTGGATGATATCAGCTTCGTCCATGGTTTCTTTTTGCAGGTGTTGCAAGAGCGAGGTGAGAGCACTTCGCGGCATGGGCGAGCCACATTTTCTGTCTTACTATTCCAGGTATCTTGATTATTTCAATTGTATTAATATTCTTTTATTTCATGTAATATCGATGCTGGATGATTTTACATGGACAACCTATTTGTCTGAATATGATCCTTACAGTTACAGACACAAGCACCTACTCTCATCTTGCATTTTAATTTCCTTGTGGTCAAACCTACATGAACTTCTTCTGAAGTGTGAATTTTGAATTGACTGCATAATATGCAACGAGAGTCTCTATCTTGTCTTTTTTATTTTGGGGGGTCTATGGTCCTATGTTGAATAANTAAGGAAAGAGGAGAAATTGAGAACTGTATGTTTGTTGAGAAACCTTGATCACTAAGTCTAATAAGTGGGTTATTTTGGTGTGCAATGTTCTTCCAAAACAATTTAATATTAATCCCCATTTTCCAATGTATTCACTATGTAAATACATTTTGAACCATAGACTCGGTGGATTTTTTTCGCCATACACACTAGGTCTTCTACTTGTGTTGGTCACTGGTTAGATGCATTGTTTATTTATTTTTTTTCATAACTAAAACCAGAAAATGAAGAGGACCACTGAGGAGCAACTGAAATTCTATTGAATAATTTCAGAAAATTGAAAAATATAACAATAAATTAGTTAAACTAAAATTATATTAAAAGATCGTGGTATAGGGAATTTATCGAGTGTCTTGGTTCAAAACCTTTTGATCCACCTAGCTGGATAAGTTTCTTTGATTCCAAAAATGTTGCAGGATTTCTGGTTTACAGAAGGATTTTATTTATTTATTTTTCTGTTGTTGTTATTTTTTTTTTTACTTTTTATTTATTTATTTTTCATTTAATTTATTTATAGATTTTACTAGATGAAAGATTTAATTTTTTTTCCTTTTTATTTTTAATTTAATTTATTTATAGGTTTTCTTAAATGAAAGATACAAAATATGAGATGCTGTTTATACGTTTGATCTAACATTTTATTCACATCTCGACTTTTGGCTGGTTAAACTTATTACAATATGTTAACCTAAAATAAAAAAAATCTATATACTCTGCTCTTTTCCAGATTGGTTTTCAAGCCATTGCTGAAGCTCTTGGCCTGGCTGCTGTTAAGGCAATAGTTGCCATTTCTACCATTATAGCTGGTGGGCGCCTGGTAGGTGGTGATTCTATATTTTACAGGCTCTGAGCTCTTATACTCTCTGTTGTATTCTTTCTTTAGTGATGAAAGGATGTATTCTTTCTTTAGTGATGAAAGGACGTTCTTTTGGAAAAATATGATCTCTTCTAGAGCGTTACTGTTCCTAAAATGCTTGATTGTTACATTCATTATTTAGGTGGAGTCATTCTTGTTGGAAATGTGGAAAAGGATGTGGGCGTTCTTGAGATTATATGATATTCGTGGTCTTTTTCTGGTTGTCTAAGAAACACCACCAAAGTGTTCTGTAAATTGCCCTTTGTTTTCTACTTATTTGTGTCATGGCTAACTGGAGTACACTGATTTCATCTCTAGGCTCCCCTCTCCCCCCTCCTCTTTCTTGCACATTTACTACTGATCATTCAATGGTCGAAGATGGACAAAAATTGGCGGGTGAATCTGAGAATGAAGACGACTTTACGTTCTCTAGCTTGCAAAACTTGCTCCGTGGCTTTGGAAACATGACCTCTGTGTTATGGCTATTCCGAATAAGCCTAATAAAGGTATATCAGGGGTAAAATCTTCCAAATTAGTCTGTGAACGGAAAAACCTCGCCTCCACAGTGAACTATGACAAGGGTCCCTCTTCCCTTGCCATTGATGGGTCACCCAAAGCTAAATGATTATCCTCTCTTGGAATTTTAGCGTGGTCTGGGCTCCAGAAAAAAAAGAGCGCTCGTTAAGGATTTTCTCCTCAACAAATGCCACCTTTGTAATTCTCCAAGAAGCTAAAAGAATTAGTGTTGATAGAAGGTTTATTAAATCCTAAATCCCTTTGGAGCTCCCGGCATATTGCTTGGATTGCTTTAGCTACGTGCAAAACTACTGGGGAAATGCTTATTATGTGGAATGATCCATCAACAATGGTTTTGGAAGTCAGAGTAGGCACCCTCTCTCTAACTCTACGTCTTTCCCTTTTTGATGGTTACAGATTTTGGCTGCCTGGTATCTATGACTCTTCTCGAGCTACTGATAGAAGCGCCTTATGGGAAGAGCTCTATGATCTATCTCATCTCTGTACAGATCAATGGATTATGGGTGGTGGCTTCAAGGTGACTAGATGTTCCATTGAGAAATCAAGTGGCAAGGCAACTACAAAATGTATGAAACTTTTCAACAAATTCACTGATAGTGCTCTAGCTGGCCCCCTCTCTCTAATGGTAAATACAATCGGTCTAGCTTACGTGAGAGACCTGCCTTGACCCTGATTGATCGGTTTATAATCATGGGTCCATGTATTGATAAATTTAACAGTATTTTGGTCAAGTGGTTTCCTCGTATCACATCTGATCATTACCCAATTGTCTTGACCCTCGGTCAACAAAGATGTGGCTTGGATACTTGAAAATATGTGGATGGGGCATCGTTCTTTTGAGACCTTATTTTGTAATTGGTGGCGTAACAACCAGCCGTTAGGGTGGCCTGGTCACAGATTTATATAGAAACTGAAGACTCTCAAGGACGTCCTAAGAGAATGCAACACGACTACTTTCAGCTGTGCTAAGATCAGAAAAGTTGACTTAGCTAATGAGCTTGTCAGGATTGACAAATTGGAGGAATCACATGGCGTCAACCAATGAGCTTGTCAGGATTGACCACTTGGAGGAATCACATGGCATCAACCAATTCCCTAACCACTGGATTTCTGAGATCAAGCCAGACCGTTGGATATTTCCCCTAACGAAGAGGCAACTTGGATACAGAAATGCCAACTGAAATGGACCGTAGAGGGTGATGAAAACAACAACTTTTATCTGAGTTTTGTCTACAAGAGGAGAAAGAACAGCATCGTTGAGATATTATCATGAGACGACATTAGTTTGGTAATAGATAATGATATTGAGATTGATTTAAAGGAAGGGCTTGTTATCAAGCTCGATATAGAGAAACATTTGACATGGTTGTTTGAAATTTTCTTGACAATATTTTGGTGGCTAAAGGATTTGGCACAAAAGGGAGAAACTGGATCTAGGGTTGTATTTCATTGCAAATTCGAGAGGTCTTCGTCAAGACGACCCCCTTTCCCCTTTTCTCTTTAACCTTGTGGTGGACTGCTTAAGCCATATGCTATCACAAGGGGCTCTAAATGGAAACATCAAAGGCTTTGACGTAGGAGGGGAAATTTGTCTATTAACCATCTTTGATTTGCGGAAAACACCATCCTTTTCTCAATTTCTGAGTAAGGACAAGCTCTCTGCCCTTTTCTCTACCATTCATAGTTTTGAAGAAGCATTGGACCTCCATATCAACCACCAAAAATCAGAATTCGTAGGCATCCACTTGGCCTCAGATACTGTTACATCCCTTGCCCAAGACTTTTTTTACTGTAAAGTAACATCCTGACCAGCAGTTTATTTGGGCTTCTCTCTTAGCGTTAAACCACACACAAAGGGGTTTTGGGGACCTATTACTGAAAAGGTGGAATGATGTTTAAGGGGTTGGAGTGGCACACATATGTCAAAGGGAGGACGTTTAACCCTTATACAGGCGACCTTATCCAACTTTCCCATATGTTGCCTTTCTTTGTTCCAAAAACTTCCCTCAGGATTATTGAGCATTTCTGGTCTAGACAGTATTTCTTGAAACCACATTTTCCTATCAAATAGTTGATTTAAACTGGATAAGAATTTGATTAATTCTTACCTTACCTATTAATCTTCAAGCCTTTGAAGGGAAATGATCTCTAAAGCGTCTGTTAGACTCTTGTAGTGCAGCAAATTCTTTTATCATATAAAACAACAATCATTTAATATATCAATACTAGATCTTGTGCTTTGTTTTCTAATTTCTTCTTCTTCTCCAATTACAGCTACTACGACCAATATATAAACAAATAGCTGAAAATCAAAATGCAGAAATATTCTCTGCCAACACATTACTTGTCATTCTGGGAACAAGTCTACTTACTGCCAGGGTATTGGTTTTCACTCCTTAAGATTCTTTTTCAGTAACTTCCTGAAATAGTATTTCATTTACTCATCTTATTTTTTCTTTTTGGGTTTCCCTTTTTGCATCATTTGAGAGTAGGCTGGACTATCAATGGCGCTAGGTGCCTTTCTAGCAGGTTTACTACTTGCAGAAACGGAATTCTCCTTGCAGGTCGAATCTGATATTGCTCCCTATCGTGGCCTTCTATTGGGTCTCTTTTTCATGACGGTTGGTACTTCATGTTGGATACTTTTTCAGAACAGTTAATGATGTCCTTCTATTAGACTTTTAGGTTGGTCACCTGATATATGCTCATGCTGGCTTGCGTGTAAAAGTAGTTGATATGAAAAGTACTTGGCGGTGGTATGAGATTTTATTTTTTAATAGACGTGTTATCAGAAATTTTATAAGAAAAAAAGGGTTGAAGGGGGAAGTTAAGACATCCCCTTATTTTCCGAAGCCAAATAAATTGCAGAAAGACTTTCAAAATAGAATAGTGAAAAAGGAAATAAAACAAGGGCATTTTTTGTGACTAGGAAAAATTATTTCATAGCTTTCTTAATTTATTAGATTTTTTTTCCCTATGACTTGGTGTAAAAATTAATTTCTATTAAGAATTTTACAATCCTTTTTCTATTGTAGTTCGTCTCCTTTTGGGGATTGGTTTTTTTTGGTATGCCCCTTGTATCATTAAAAAAAGAAATTATTTGAGTGTCCTACTATGAGTAGCTGAAAGATACACTGCTAAATTAATACATTTTCACAATCAAGTAAAGGTGCATTATAACACTGCAACATTGTGAATACTTGCTTGGGCTTTATATGCAAGCGTTCTTATGAAAGCTAATATATTTATGTGTTGGTTGTACTTATAGCTGCTACTCTGTATAGAGATTTGTAGCTATTAATTTACCACATTTTCCTGGTAACTTTTTACTTTCAGGTTGGGATGTCTATCGATCCAAAACTTCTTCTTTCTAACTTTCCAGTTATCATGGGGTCTTTGGGGCTTCTAATTGGTGGTAAGACTATATTGGTTGCCTTGATTGGTAGACTTTTTGGTATCTCAATTATATCTGCGTTAAGAGTTGGGCTGCTTCTTGCTCCTGGTGGAGAATTTGCTTTTGTGGCATTCGGTGAAGCTGTCAATCAGGTTATATTTGCATAACTTGCATGATTTAGCTGTTGTATTATGGATTCAAATGCTTAGCTATCTTCTGATTTTTATGGATAACATTTATTGCCAGACCCAAAGTTGCTAATTTCCTCAAAAAGCCAAAGATTGGAACCTTTCTAGTAACCCTTATTGGCTGTAATTATTTTTTCGGAGGTCCATTTGTTTCATTTTTACCTTGTTCTTTGTCGGGTCATTCTTTTAGTTTCATTCTTCTCATGAAAGAGATTTTTTAGCCAAAAAAAAAAAAAAAAAAAGAAAAAAAAAAGAAATAATAATTAATAAATAAAATAAAATAAATTTGCTAATTGGTGTTTTTTTACAGGGTATAATGTCTTCTCAACTATCCTCTTTACTGTTTCTTGTTGTGGGAATTTCTATGGCCCTTACGCCGTGGCTAGCTGCTGGTGGTCAGTTAATTGCTTCTCATTTTGAGCAACATGATGTTCGGAGCTTATTACCTGTTGAAAGCGAGGTAAAAATACTAACACGAAAAGAGATTTACCTTTAAAAGTTACTAATCTTTACTGATAAATTTTCAGGCATTGTTTGATTATTCTCATGGGGTTGTTCTACGAAATTAGTTTGGTAATTTGAAATGGGACTTCACCTAATATTAGATTAGTTTCTTGTTAAAATAAATTTGGTAATTTGAAACAGGACTTCACCTAATATTGATATTTATTGCTATGTATATAAATGAGAGGAACGTGCTCTAGATTTGGATATCAAGATGATCATCTTTTTCTTCGAGGTTGTTAAGATTGATTAATTAGGTTAGCTATTGATAAATCTTAGTAGGGTAGCCGCAAGAGAAATCACCTTGTTTTCACCGGATGATCAATGGAGAAAGCTAGACCTATGATTCCCACTTATCCAGAATACAAAGTACCCTGCAAAGTTTTCGACATTGATTATGGAATCATACATTTATCTTGTCGGATTAATGGATAATGGAGATGTGCAATCTAGCTCAAACATCCACCTTTAAGGGTTTCTTCCTTGGCTAGGCATATGTTGATGGTGCCATAGGAGTTGACCGTTTATCATATTATATTATTTTGTTCAGTGAAGATGGATTTTTTTTTTTTTTTTCAATTTTCTTTGTTTGAGGTCAATTTATCATACTATCACAACAAAATTTGAAATTGTTAGAAAGGTGAACATATAACATTTTGTCGTGATATTATAACTTTGTTTAGTTACAAACTAACACTGGCTCTTTTTTTTTTTTTTTTTTTTTTTTAATCNTATCATTCTTTGTGGATTTGGACGAGTTGGTCAGGTCTGGTTCTTGTTCATAGTTACTAGATATAAATTGTTTTAAATCTTACTAAGGGGATTCGATGGTATTATGGCATTTACTACAATACTTTACCTCTGTCTTTCTTTGTCACCCTCAGATAATAGCCCAGCTTCTATCAGAGCGACTGATTCCCTTTGTTGCCCTTGATGTGCGAAGGTACATTTGACTATAGAAAATAAAATTTCTTTATTGGCCCTACAGAACAACTACAGCTTATTTCTTAATCCCGTGTATATATTGACATGCTTTTCTTGGAAGAAAATATATGTACCATTGAAGTTTTTTGACCTGATCATCATTAAATCATGTATTTTAGTATATTGCCTCTGATCTTCTAATGTCAATTTTAACTTTTATTAAATCCTCAAGAAATAGATGACAGGTTTCTAAGAGGAAATTCATTTACACAGAACTAGTTTGCAATTTATAGACAGTATCAACTGTTTTACAAGTAAAGAATAAATGACGATCTTAGGATCATTTTCGAAGATGTCATTTTAAATTTTTTATATATTATTTATTTTAAGACTAGAGCTGAAATGAAGTTTCTTGTGTTTTGTTCTTTTAGCGATAGAGTGGCTGTTGGACGTGCCCTGGACCTTCCCGTGTATTTTGGAGATGCTGGGAGTCGAGAAGTAAAAATTGCATATGAGAAACCAAGTTCCCGGCTTTCTTTCTCTTTACATCTTCTTTTGTTGGTCTTGTTATTATTTCATATTTGTCAATAAAAACTCGATTTCTTTTTAATGAAAAACATGTTTTATGTTGGTAACTAGGTTCTTCATAAAATTGGTGCTGAAAGGGCATGTGCTGCTGCAATTACACTGGATTCACCGGGTGCAAATTACAGAACCGTTTGGGCTCTAAACAAGTATTTCCCTAATGTTAAGACTTTTGTTCGAGCTCATGATGTTGATCATGGCCTTAATTTGGAGAAGGCTGGGGCAACTGCGGTATTAGTTTTGAACTCTTGAACGATGTGAAACTAAGTTTTGAAATTTTAAAGCATGATATATTTCTTTTCTTGTTATCTGACGCACCCAATATATTTCTTGTGATAATTTTTACTATAGATTATATGAAGATTCATTAAATTAAGGGAGAATGAGTGGTGCGGTACATAGTATGTTGCAAATTTAGTCACATCTTTGTCTTTGCTGGAAAACGCTTGCAGGTGGTTCCTGAGACGTTGGAACCAAGCTTACAGTTGGCTGCTGCCGTTCTTGCTCAGGTAATTGCATTATTATAATAAACTAATACTGGTTAAAAATAAATTGATATTGTGAGATCCCACATCGGGTGAGGAGGAGAACGAAACATTCTTTATAAGGGTGTGGAAACCTCTCCCTAACAAACATGTATTAAAAACCTCAAGGGAAAACCCGAAAGGGAAGCCCAAAAAGGACAATATCTACTAACGGTAGACTTGGATTGTTACATAAAGATTTTCTGCTTGTTGCATAATAAATGTACTCCGAATGCTAGTTTGAAGACGGCCTTACTTGAACAACATCTGTTCGATAGGTTATACAGCTGTGTCCTTGAATTCTGAAGAATGCTTGTTTGAAGAGATTTAATGTTTTATTCATGTTTTGTTACTTGTTATAAAATCTCATAAAATCTCATTGATTAAGACATCTATTTTCTTGATTGTGGAGAGAGGCTTTTGGCATTCAAATTACAATCCAAAACCATAATAAGGGAAAATGTTTTTTGTGCAACTACAAATGGATCTTAAAGTTAGATTGTTTTTCCTTAAGGCTAAACTACCCATGTCGGAGATTGCTGCAACGATCAACGAGTTTAGATCCCGACATTTATCCGAGCTTACCGAGGTAATTTGTCAGTCATTTTCATACACAAATTTATCATTTGCAGTAACCTTACAGTTCTAGTCTACATTTGCAGCTATCTGAAGCCAGTGGAAGTTCACTTGGGTACGGGTTTTCTCGAATCATGAGTAAACCGAAAATTCAAACCTCTGATCCTTCAGATGAGAACCAAGTCCCCGAAGGAACACTCGCAATATGATATCATCAATTAACAGTCGAGACGAAACAAAGAAAGAAAGAAGTGGGGGTCCAATATCCAAAAAAGGAAGAACAAAGCCTTCAAGAGTGGACTAACAATTTCACATTGGTATAAAAGTGTACAGAAAATTGGGGTATTGAAAAGAGGGTTAACAACATTGTGATCAACCACATTTAGCTCTATTATTAATTTTGTTTTCATTTCTTCTCTTGAAAAGGTTGCTTGGAAGAGCAACTTTTCTTTTAACCCTTTACAAGATCCATAGAAACATGACAACTTTCTAGATTACTACATACACTTCCAATTTTGCATTATTATTTTTAATTAAACCATTATTTCTTTAATCCTATTCAAATTTTAGTATTTATTAGAAATTTTCCTTTCGTTTTCTATCTATACGGGAGCTTCTTGCAGGTAATGATAGAATTGTGATATATGTTAGATGAACACGACTCTCCACAATGGTATGATATTGTCCACTCTGAGTGATGAAAATTATAAACTAAGTTTAGGGTATGACTCTGATACCATGTTAGATGAATACGATTCTCCACAATAGTATGATATTGTCCATTTTGAGCATAAGTTCTCATGGTTTTGCTCTGGCCTTCCCCGAAAGGCCTCACACCAATGGAGAAAGTATTCTTTGATTATAAACTTATGATCATTCCCAAAATTAGTCGATGTGAGACTTTTATCATCCAACACCTCCCTTAGAACAAAGCACGCCTCCCCTTCATCGAGGCTCAACTCATTTTCTTTTGGAGTTCTTTGTTTACATTTGAGGATTTACCAATCTATTGACACGACTAAGTTTAGGGCATGACTTGAGTTTTGTTCAAGTGCTTGACAATATTATTCCAAAGCTCTTGTATATTTACCATTCTTGGCTCGATGAACTAGCTCGAGATTCTCTCTTGGTTAGTTTGAGTGGATTAGATCAGAATTTGTACGAGTAATATCTTCTATTACCGCGGTATAAAATGAATCAGTCCACTTTTAAATAGAGACCAAATTAGTCCACTTTTAAAAGTAATACCATCAATGGACATTTTAAACATAGCTTACAACTTTAAAAAAATTTAAAATTTTAAAAATAATAAAAATAAAAGGAAACTGCTCCTATGCCGGAGTGAATAATCAGTGTTCACGTTAGGGATTCATTTTATTTCAGCCGCCACTTCTCCGCCGTCTTCTCCGCCGGCTCTCATCATCCTACACCTGTTCTGATTCCTCTCTCGGTTGATTTCGCCTACAAAAGTAAGTCTCTCTTTGTTCATCGTGAGTGACACAGAGAACGAAATAAGTGTATCTTTTTGCCTTGTTCCACAGTTTCTCTTTGCTCCGCCGCTCTGTAGCTCTGTAATTCCTGATTGTTTTTTTAGCAAAAACGTGCAGATTTTTCTCACGGTGTCTTCCAATGGCATCATCGATGAAATTCACAGATTGTTCCCCTTCCGCCATTGTTCGTCTTGTTCCCTCTACTCGAACCAGGCTTCGAAGCTTCTCCGATGGCGCTGTTCTCTTTCACCGTGTTCTTGGCCGTTCCTGTCCTGCGTATCCTAGAACTTTTGTTTCTCGATCTTCAATTTCAACTTTGCCCGTCATCTCTGGTATGTCTCTTTGTTTATGAGAAAAATTCTTTTATGATTCTTTTGTTTAGAGCTTCATAGGATCTGCCGTTTCATTTTCACCTAATTTTTCTCCTTGAACTTGTGGAACTCTGGAATGTTTTTGCGTTGATTTTATGCTGCTTGCAAGCATTCTAGCTTCCAGCGTTACTGGTGCTAAAATGGTGTTAAATTGTTGTAGTTTTGAATGCTGGCTATGCAACTTCAGAATAAGTGTTCTATGTATAGGCATGCATGTTGTGGTTGGATGATCTTGGATTGTTCATAGTTTTTTATGTACTTATTCAGTAACCATTACCATGGAGAATTCAGCTTGATTTTCATAGTTAGAGCAATGGAGAGATCTTTTTGTGTGGCTTTTATGCTAGGGATTCTGGATTCTTATTTTCTTTTTACTTCAGCTTCAATCTCGACCGAGGCAACTGCACAAGTTATTGATGGAAAATTGGTGGCGAAGCAGATAAGAGAGGAGATTACTGCTGAAGTATCTCGAATGAAGGATGCCATTGGTGTTGTTCCGGGATTAGCAGTCATCCTTGTTGGAGATAGGAAGGATTCTGCAACTTATGTACGAAACAAGAAAAAAGCTTGTGAATCTGTGGGTATTAAATCCTTTGAAGTAAACTTGCCTGAAAATGCTACCGAGCAAGAAGTGCTCAAGCATATATCCGACTTCAATGATGATCCATCTGTCCATGGCATCCTTGTTCAATTACCTTTGCCTAAGGTATGTTTACTAAACTTCATTTCATTTGTCAAATAACTTATATTGTGAGATCCACCCTCAAAGAACGAGTGTTAGCAAGGACGCTGACTCTCGAAGGGGGTAAATTGTGAGATCTCACATCGGTTGGAGAGAGAAACGAAAAACGAAGTTTTCTTTATAAGGGTATGAAAACCTCTCCCTAGCAAAAGCGTTTTAAAACTGTGAGGCTTATGACGATTTGTAACAGGCCAAAACGGACAATATCTGCTAGCGATGGGCTTGAGTAGTGTCACAATTTACTATATTATCTTAGAATATTACTAAGGACACTCTAAACTTAAGACCTCGGTCTATAATCATTTGCTTGTTTGCTTTTTGTTTTTGAAAATTATGTTCACAAGCACTTCTTCCACATATGAGTTTCTATGTTTTTTTAATCTAGAAACCAAACAAAAGGGCTTAGAAGGAATGAGTTCGAACAGGGTGGCTACCTGCCTAGGATTTAATACCCTACGAGATTCTTTGACAACCAAATATTGTAGGTCAAGTGGTCGTCCCATGATATTAGTTGAAGTGTGCGCAAGTTGGCTCAGACACCCACGAATGTTAAAAAAGAACCAATTTTAAAAACGTGTTTTTTTATTAATCTCGCTGCTTGGCCTGGCCTGGCTGGCCCTTCCCTCAGCTCTTCAAGCATACTCTGCTCCTTCTTTCTTCCCTCTCCTCTTCGAGCGAGCATACTCAATCCTTCTTTCTTCCCTCTCCTCTTCTCGTCTAGCTGCTTCCTGCTTCGCTGCTTTCTTTCTTCCCTCTCCCCAGTGTTCCTTGTCTCACTGCTTTGCTTCTTCCCTCTCCTCTCTTTTACAGTCAAGTCGCTTCCCGCCTCTTCGAGTCGACCGGTTCTGGAGCCAGCGGGTTATGTGAATGAACTCCCCCTTACGGTTAAAAAAGTAGTTAACCATCTCGAAGAAATCCAAAGTACGACCAAACTGAGAGTGAGAGTTTCGGGGGGCGGTTAGGCATCCTTAGACGAAAGAGTGGTCTTTCAAGATTGGTCGTTGTGTGTCACCACCTCCCACCTCTCCTACACATTTGATCAAGGTTGTCACTGCGAAGCTATAGTTAAGGTGCACGGGGTCTTACCGTCTAGCCGTTGGTACTCCGCATCTTCACGGAGAATTCAATTTCACCGGGTCCATGTCGGAGATAGTGGGGCAGTCGTTACACCATTCGTGCAGGTCGCTACTTATGCGACAAGGAATTTCGCTACCTTAGGACAGTTAGAGTTACTGCCGCCATTTACTGGGGCTTCCATTCAAAGCTTATAACACTTCTCCTTCCAACCTTTCAGCACCGAGCAGATTTCAAACTCTATACATCATGTTACCACTTAGCAGAGTTCTATATTTTTAATAAACAGTGGGCCCTTGGTATGTGGCGCTTTCCTAATCAAAAGATAGGAGAGCACTCTTCTAGAACTTGCTAAGAATTCAACTTAAAACCATAGTAAAAAAATGGAGAGAAAACAATTACTAATTAAACTTCGAAACATGCATAGTAAAAAAAAATTGTTATCGAACGGTGTGGCCATGTCGTTCGTTGGGTGCTGCTTATTTTATTAAATAAGTTTTGTTGGTATCTGCATTATTTGTTTGCTATCTTCATTTCCACATGTCTTATCCTATGTAAATATAGATGAAAGCTCGAACTTATATGCATATTTTGTTTAGGGTAATGGGTACCTGTTAATTACCCGTTGAACTGTACTCACTTTGGCAACGGGAAAAATGTTTATAGCAGTATTATGGTGCAATGGACCCCATTACATTAGCTATTCAAGATCCAACATAACATGTTTTCATTGATTTTGGCAGCATATGAATGAACAGAATGTATTACATGCTGTTAGGATTGAAAAAGACGTAGATGGATTCCACCCATTGAACATTGGTCGTCTTGCAATGAGAGGTGAAGAACCGTTGTTTGTTCCATGCACACCAAAAGGGTGTATTGAATTGCTGCATAGATACAACATTAGTATCAAAGGAAAGAGAGCTGTTGTAATCGGTCGAAGCAATATTGTAGGAACTCCAGCTGCTCTTTTGCTTCAAGTGAGTTTTTAATTCTTAATCTATCTACTTCACAACGTTATTGATTGTTGATTCTCTTGACGATAATGTTTATCGTTCTTGTGTAGCGAGAAGATGCTACCGTTAGCGTAGTTCATTCGAGGACCAAGGACCCCGAAGAGTTAACAAGACAAGCTGATATTATCATCTCAGCAGTTGGCAAAGCTAATATGGTTGAGGGAAGTTGGATAAAGCCTGGTGCGGTTATTATTGATGTTGGAATTAATCCGGTAGAGGTGAGTAAAGTACTTTTACACAAACATTTATTATCGTTAAACACCTTTTAAAGGATTACGTTGTACAATTAGATCGAATAAGTCCTCGTTCTCTTTGATCTTCGTGACATGTCTATGTACATATGGCTAAACCGAAATCTTCTCTCATTTCTACATTTGAAGTTTCACACTCGGTTGTCATCTTCGTGTAACAGGATGCAAGTAGTCCTCGTGGATATCGACTCGTTGGGGATGTCTGTTATGAGGAGGCCAGCAAAATTGCTTCGGCTATTACTCCTGTACCCGGGGGAGTCGGGCCAATGACGATAGCGATGCTCCTCTCGAACACACTCACAGCAGCAAAGAGAAAACACAACTTCCAGTGAAATTTACCTAAAAAGCTTTCCTTTAGCAAAGGACCAAGCTGTTAAATAACCCCATGTGTGAGCACACATCTTTTCAAGTCATTACAACTCATCTTCTTTTGGGTGAATGAATGACTTTTGGAGATTGAACCTTGTATTTGTTGGATCTTTTCTATATGCTGAATAATCACAGGGGATACACATTTTGTTGTTGCATTGTCGTATCGAGGTCTAGTTAGGGGTGCAAATTATAACGAACAAGACGGATTGAAATAGAAATTGATCGGTCGGGATGGAAAGATGAATGGTTGAGATGATGACTATTTGATGATAGGTCATAAATCATAAGTAGGTCAATCTCAAACCAACATTTCGATTTTTAACAAAAATTTATTCATGACTGAGCCACACCCCCATAGTTTTGACTTAAAAGGATAAATTTCAAAAAAAATGGAAATGATAAGAGTAGGAGCGAAGCAATAAAATTGAAGGGAAAGGAGTTATCTATGTAATTGAAGTTGTAGAAGAGCACCACCACGGTTCAGGCCCTGACACATGGAGGATTAAAGGATCGTGAATCAAGGGAAGAATGCTACCAGAATTCTGCAGTCACCCTCGACCAAGACCTAACCTAGTAGGTCATAATTGAGGAATATCCCTTGGAAAAGAAAAATAGCAAAACACAGGCAGAATGTATTGAGAGACCCAACATTCAGCTTAAAATGGTCATAGTCTAGAGCTCTAGCTCTCAAAATCACTTTCAAACATGCCACTAATTATCAATATCATTAAAGATGATGGCAGAGGGGAGGGGATCAAACATATTTCAGAATATGCTCGTTATTAGGTATAGCTAAATAAATATGGTACCAACTTTAACTTCTTTTGACCTTTGTGTATCCATCCCCGAAATTAGAAACTGCAACCTCAAATTTGGAGGAAACATGAGTGAAGAGCTTCTGATCTGAACCTAACTTTCTAGTCTAATCTGCATCTTCAAGTTGTTACTGGAATAAACAAAAACGTAATGGAAGTTCTACAATTATGACCTTTTCTCTGTAGAATTGGATTGTGACGAAGATGGAGAGAGCGTAATTCTTGCACCTCGTTCTGGCTATAGCTGTGTTAGAGCTTCCCGTTGTCCGAAAGATCGATACATGCTTCAAAATGATCAATTCCCATCTTATTGTTTTGTTTAGTACTTCTCAAAATAGACACCTGAGAGAAGAAAAGAGAGGATTTAATAATCAACCAAAGGTTTCACAAATATGATTGTTTGAAATATTCACAAATAGTCTCCTTTCTCTAACATATCGTCTCCAACATATCTTTCTCTAGAATATCTACTACTAATTTTTCTCTCTAAACAGTTCTCACTCAAGGACTTCTCCTTCCTTTTCTGTCATATTTCTGCCTAACTTTTCTCTCTAACATTTATTTCCATCTCTAATATCTCTCTTCCTATAGCTTTTGTTTCCCTGTGCTCCTCATTCTTTTTCTAACCTCTGTAACATTTCTCTTTATAACATTGCTCTTGTAACGGCCCAAGTTTACCAATAGCAGATATTGTCCTCTTTGAGCTTTCACTTTCAGACTTCCCCTCAAAGTTTTTAAAACGTGTCTGCTAGAGAGAGGTTTCCTAATAAAGAATGCTTCGTTCTCCTCCCCAACCGATGTGAGATCTCACGGCTCTCCCTCTCTCTAACAGATCTCTCTCCAATTTCTGTCTACTTTCATTCCCTCTCTCTAACATCTCCCTCTAAAACTTATACCTTTTTTTCCCTCTCTACTTGTTCCGTGATTGTTTGTTATTATAAGTTTTTGTTCACCTTTCACTCCTCCCTTCAAACACAGGGTAGATCCACTTAACTATAAGCCAAATCACGTTTAAGGCGGCACCCTAGAGCTATGACATTATGCGTGTGTAGATCCTTACACATAGGAAGTCGGAGTCAAGATGGGATAGCTTTGGCGATCATCACAAAGTTGTCCAACCGATCCCATTTTTTGAGAGACTGACTTTAGGAACCAACATAGCTAACGTAGCTTAGTCTCCCTCTACTCTAAAAAATAGAAAACAAAAGGTAGTGCATATAGCCCCTTACCTTAAGGCCTTATCCAAATTAAACAGCTTGGATTCTAACATCATCACAGAATCAGAAAACTGTGAATAAATACCTTGGGTCGTTCCATGGAGCTTGCAAAGTAACCCATTCCAAATGAAAGGGAAGAATAAGCAGCAGCAATCTCCACGGCTTTCAACTTCTGCGGATTTCCTGGGGCCTGTGGCAACAATACTGAGATACATAATTACGATAAATAGAATAAAAAAAAGTGTTCAATTAGTAGGTCACCAATTTAGGAGCATCGGCCTGGACAAGTAAAATCCCAGCACTCTTATCAGTGTTATGTTGACTGCTTTCTTGAACAAAATTGCGTAGAACTTTCATGCAAGCAGAGGCCGGACCTGCCTGTGATCTGAGTGGACCATATATAACAATGTTAAATAAAAATAACAGACGACTCAACTTAGTTAATTTGTAAGCAAATATTCTTCAATGTGCAAACAATAAGACCTGATCAAGAATAAATGCAACGAATGAAGAAAGATTTTTAGATGGTCATTATCTCATCGACCAACGTTATCAGGGAGCAAACTTGACTAAACTTAATATATTAACTACTTTCCAGATTCAATATACACACGGTTGCTTGGTTCAAATTATTTCAGAAATTTAAACACTCCATATGCACATTCAAACTTCAGCTTGGGTGCTCGCTTGAAATAAACAAACCAAAAGTTATTGATATTAGTGTTACCATTAGATAATCGATGTGAAAGTGAAATAAATAGACCGGTAATATGCATTATACAAATTTTTCCTTCTAGAGAATCCTTCAACTAATAACTTCCTAAGTAGATCATCACCATGACTTGATCTCATTTCCTCAAAGCCTTTATTATTTACATGGTCTTTTTTTATCGCAAGACCAACCCATTATGATTTTGTTGTTAATACATATTGCTAACATTCTATAGAATAAAGTCCTCCACGCTGCACAAAGACCTCACCTATAGAAACCATATGGTTGATGTTCTAATATGAGAACATCATAAGAAAATCATTCACGTACATTGACAACAATTAAACAACGAACACAGATGATTAGGCTTGGTTCTACGATGTACAGTTATAGAAATCTTTAGGTTGAGGTCAAAGTTCCGGAGTCTGTGTTTGTGCATTTTGGATGAGCAATTTCAGAATAAATAAAATGAAACCTCAAAATATTGAAGTGTTTTACCACTGAAAATTCACTGAAACTTAATCATGGATAGTGGAGAAACATACAGTGATAATGATACACAGCATTCCCTAGCTGCAAATCCTTTCATTAGATACTCTCCTCCACCAGAAACACAACCCCCAACCATGAAGGGAGTCCCAAATGGACCTTTTGAGGACGCCCAACAACCTGAACCATACATTGCTGCCAATCCTACACGTCCACTGACCTAAAAGTTAAAATCTGTTAAAATCCTTTTCTAATCATGCAATTATACTTCTACCTCGTTCAAATAATATGAGGAAAAGCACAAACTACCTTCATTGCAATGCCACCACTTGAGGCCCCAGATGCGACATGTCCTTCACTGTCAACACATATAACACCAACCGTGTCCATAGTACAATCATTTTCTGCATCATTTAACGTTGCTGACTGGCATGTGGTGCCTTCCAGTGGATTGTGTGATTGGACTTCTACACAATCAAAATAAAAATAAATAAAAGTCATTAGGAACAGGCGAGAGGAGATGGTTAAAATAGGATAACATATAAAATAGAGAACCCAAACCCGATATTCTAGTATTGTCTTGAGAACTGCAAGAATTCACTACATAAGAATTCTCTTTCTTTTCTTTCGCACGTTGAATCATTGACTTGTATCTTTCCCATTGAACTTTTGCTCTTTCTGTCACCAACCACTATATGTGATGGTAAAAGATGAGATGATTCACCCAACAATGTAAGATATAGATGGTTAATTTAATGCTTAGATAAATCAAAGGGTTTTTACTTGGGCCCTTTTGACAACCATTTCAATTTTCAGTTTTTGGTTTTTTTGTTTTTTAAAAACAAAAACCATATATGTTCAATAATTGTTTTATTTTTGGTTTCCTGATTTTAAAAAATCAGAGATGAAAAAAAAAAAAATTAGAGACCAATAAAAATGTTTCGGAAAGAAAGGTTAAAGATGGTAAATTTAGAGATAAAAGAAAATATTTAGTGAGAGAAGATTAATTAGACTTCATAAAAAAAAATATTAGTTATAAAGAAAAAAGAAGTTAGATGGGAAGAGATGAATTTGGAGAGAGAAAATTTAAAATAAAAGGAGAAATTTTAGAAATAGTATTGTTAAGCATAAAAAATATGTAAGAGAAATAAAGATAAATGAGAAAAATAAAGAAAAGTTATAGCAAGAGAAAATTTAGGGAGCTATGTTTTCTCAAAAGAAAAGTTAGAGATACATTTATTAGAGAGAGAAATGTTAGGGAAAAATTTTAGAAGTAGATAAGTTGGGGAGAAATTTTAGAAATAGATGAGATAAAGAGAAAAAAAAAAGTTTAGAGAGAGAAATTAGAAAAATTATATCGAGAAGACAATTGGTAGAGAGAGACAAAAATTTTGT